AGAGCTAATGTGAGAAACAACAACAACAACAACAACAACAACAACAACACATACCATTTTGGGCTGGCAAAATATCATAGTATGATGGTTAAGATGTTAAGTACGTACGTACGAATATTGCAGTGATGAGACGCGGAGGAACAGGAATTTTCTACATATTTTCCTTGGTTGTGAGAGGCTTTTGGTGAGGATTCAGAGAGATTCNGTACGTACGTACGAATATTGCAGTGATGAGATGCGGAGGAACAGGAACTTTCTACATATTTTCCTTGGTTGTGAGAGGCTTTTGGTGAGGATTCAGAGAGATTCGTTGTGTGAGAAAGCATGAAGGCGTGACTCGATACCGTGATGGTTTGACGAGCACGAGCACGCCCCCGATTAATACAACACGTAGACAACACGTTTTCCAACACGTCTGCACAACTTTACCTACCCCTACGGCCCGTAATGGCCGAGCTGCTCTACACTCCCATCGCACACAACTGAGCCACCCGAATTATCGATCACGCTAGCGTATGACACGTCGTCTACGAGATTCGCGTCGAGCTTAGTTTGGAGTATCGCTTTGCGGCGATCAGCAGCTGTCACCGATGTCCAGCGCCAACCAAGAACGAGGCGCCCGTCTCGCAGAAGACGAGGAAGCCCGCATCAACGAGTTGGTGGAGATGAGGGTACAACAACGATTGGCCGACATAAGGCGGCAACAAGACGAGGAGGAGCAGAGGACAGAGAACGTCCGGACCGGAAGCGAGCACGAGGCACGCCACCAGCAACAAGCGGGGCGGCCATCGGCGAACCCGGCCGTAGATGACATCGCCCGCACTCTCGCCGACGCCCTGACCAGCCGCCTGCAGATATCACCACGGGACAGCGGTAGAGTACCCAATACAGGAGGAAGTATTCGCCTGACCGAGGTTAAGCGCCTAGCGCCTTGGGATGGGATTTTTAGGCAAGGGGAAAATGAGCAGGCAAGATATTTTATTTTTCGATCGAACATGATTGCTATGTTTGCGCAAGAAAGAAGGAGTCAGGGAAGTGGTATTGAGTGACCACAACATTCCAGTTGGGCTAGAAGGAATAGACATGGAGGACTCGCGTAGGATGCACTCGCCTGATAGCGTAGAGAAGGCAATTACGGCGTGGAACCTGCTGATCACGTCTGTAACATACATGCC